GAGTTAGGGCAGGATGCTGGTTGGTAGGTAACTGGGAGACCTAACCAAAGAGAGAAGGTGAACTGGAGAAGGCTTGGGGGCTTTTAAAAAAAGATTTATTTATTTATGCATACAGCACTGGGGTACAGGCCAGAGGTGCAGGGACGGTGAGAGGATTCACAGAGACAGAGTGGGGAGTAGAACAGACAGATCTATGAAGTACACTGCTGAGGGGAGCAGCGGGCTGGTCAGGAGAGGTCTGCCATGACATTTGTGTCACCATTGGGGGGGGGGGCAGGGATTGAACTCATGCTGAATTGGCTTTAGCTTCTCAGTGCTGTGCTTTAATCCGCTCTGCCACCAGAGAGGGCTTTTTAGTAGGTGTTGGGAAGAGAAGAGAGGGATGGCGAAACCTTCCAGGAGCTGTCTGGTTCTCCAGAACTATTATCATTTACAAAATGACACTTCTGGTTGGAATGTCACTGTAAATTGTTTCTGCATTCCTCATGTTTGAGTTCTTTTGCTGAGTAGAGGTAAGGTTTAAGTTTTGAGAAGGATAGTTTTCTCCCTGAAAAGCAGATCTCAAATAATGTCCAAAGAAGAAGTGTGGGAACTTCTGTTCCTAAGTCCAGCAGCTTCTATTAACATGACAAAAAACATAACTTAAAAACAAAACAAAACAAAACGGGAGTAGGACTTTCATCACTAGCTTGCTTTTCCAGGAGGAAAGTCTCTATTCAGGTAAAGAAGGAGAGAGATGGAAATAACCGAGCTTGAGGAGGACATATCAGTGTCTGGATAGTAGGTGAGGCAGGAGAGACAAGGACTAGAAATCGTCAAGGTGTCTCAAAGAATTATCTGGGTGAATGGTCCGAGGACAAGAGAGAGTCTCCTCTACTGCTCCCCAAGTACACTTCAAGGGGCTGAACGGCTCTCAAAAGTGAACTAAGAAAAAAGAAGACGCAACAACCGCACGCCCCAGAAGGTGAGGGCTGCGCCTCAACAGATGCCGAGCCCTTTGTTCCCGGAGCTGGGAGGCTGGCGGGTTGGTGCGGGGCTAACGGAGCCGAACCACGGCGGCGCCTTTCATATGCAGAGCAGCACTTTGATCTGAGGGGGATGAAAGTGCTGGAAAGGGGAGCGGCTCGATGGGGGGGCCTTTGTCTTGGACAAAAAAGGCATCTGCTGGATTCGAACCCTGTCGCCTGCCCCTTCAGCCCATGGACTCCCGCTACAATGCCCCCACAGGACCCGGGTCTCCCCACAGCTGAAGAAGTCTCAGGAAAGAGAAAGAGGCCTGCTGCAAATGCTGGACAGGGAGCTTAATCGATTCTTTCCACAGCCCTGAAAGAAAGGGAGAGAGAAGAGGGGCTGCGGGGAGATAAGGAGAGCAGGGAACAGGAGACATGAGGAGCTGGGGGTGGGGGTGGGGGGCAGGAAGGGTGGAATTTGAACACTGAAGGAAACTCTGTTAATAAGCTTGGCACTTTTTCTAGTGATCACCACTTTTCCGAAGACAGTGCAGATGGGGTCGTATGTGTCGTTGGAAGGACAGAGTGTCCCTATTTAGCTAACAAGACATGGTTTTGGGTGGACTAATAATTATACTACTACTTTTAAAAAGTCAATAAATACAACGTAAGGCAAGCAGAATGAGGAAGCAGAAACCCTCCTAGCCTACTGTGTTTTCCACTGGGAAAAGGAGTCACTTTAAGTCGTCACACTGCCAGAAACCCCATGCTTGTTGGAATTTCATCACAATTATAATAATTCCCAGTTGTTCTTCCTTTCTTGCTGTCTCTTACCCTTCTTGAAATCTCAACCAATGCAAATTTAAGAGGCTCAAAAAATGCAATTTGTTTTGGTCGAGAGGTGAGTATTTTTTGCTTGTGGATGATTTGGAGTTTATTCTGTGTGGTGGGTAAGCTCTTTTTTTTTTTTTTTTAAGATTTATTTATTTATTCATGCATCCAGAACTGGGGTACAGGCCAGAGGTGCAGGTGCAGTGAGAGGATTCAC